ATGACTCCCCAACCTTTCTGGACAGATGAATGAGGAGGCAGTGCCTCTGAGTGCTCTGCACGTATTTTACTCGCCAGAGTCGTCTCAGGCCATCGAACCAATTGTTTTGACTTCATCCTTCAGATGTTGCAAAAGGAAAATATGTTCTTTTATTGCCCTTCCAAGTTTATCCTTAGTCATCTGCAGTCTGTGTGGGAATGGTTCTTTTAAAGGCCATAGAACCTCGCTTGATTTGAAATCAGTAGAATTTGTTTTGTTTAATGTGGGAAATCGTTGAGAAAATTGACACAAACTGGCTTTTAAACTTCTTAGAATTTAATTGAAAAAGAGCACCATGGAAAAACAGCCAGATGTACAAATGTCTGTTTATGGGTTAGATTGCCATAAGCTTAGTGTTTCTTTCTCTGTGGTTATTGATCATTGAGATAACCTCAGCAGTGAAGATTTAACAAGTCAATATGAGTGAATCAATTTTTTGTTACAACTCCAAGCTAATTATAATGTGTTATGATTATTATATGCATTTATTATAGTAAGTTTTCTTCTTACTACTTGCTCTATTAAGAATACTTGATGATTTAGAAGCATTTACTACATTTGCTTTGTATGAAAATTATTAAGTCTGGGGCCAGTGCAGTGACACAGGAAGTTAATCCTCTCCCTACAAGCACCAGCATCCCATATGGATACCTGTTTGTGTCCCAGGTACTCCATTTCTAATCCAGCTCTCTGATTATTACCTGGGAAGGCAGTGAAGGATGGCCCAAGTCTTTTGGCCCCTGCACCCATGTGGGAACCCAGGAACAAGCTCATGGCTCCCAACTTCTGATCAGATCAGCTCTGAACATTACAACCATTTGGAGAATGAACCAGCAAATGGAAGATTTTCTCTGTCTCTCATTCTCTCTGTTAAAAAAAAAAATCTGACTTTGAAAATAAAATAATTAAATCTTCTAAAATTTTTCAAAATTTAGTAAGTCTTTGACCATTGATATATGGAAGTGATTTGTAAAGAAATGAATTCCTGGGACTGCATTGAGGCACAGCAAGTTAAGCATTCACTTTTCAGGCCAACATTCTGTAACACAGCACTGGTTTGAATCCCAGCTATGCCACTTCTGATCTAGCTTCTTGCTGATGGGCTCAGGAAAATGGCCTAAGTGCCTCTTCCAAAGTAGAATTGCTGGCCTGTGTTTGTTCTGATCCAAATCTTGATATTAGGTCCATTTAGGGGGTAAACCAGAAAGTGGAACATTTCTTCCTCTGCCATCTCCTTCCCTTCCCTCCTTCCTCTTTCTCACTCTGTTTCTGCCTTTCAAATGAATCTTAAAAAGAAAAAGAAGAGGTAGTACCTTTAGTTCTTCTATTACTCCAGCAGTATATTACAAAAGAACCATACCATAGTGGTTCGGAATTTTACAAATCACTTCAAGGAGCCATTCAGAATGTTTTGTAAGCATACTAAATATGTATTTTGGTGCATACCTTTGACTTACGTGGATTTGGACAGAGTGGACCAAACAGAGCTAATTGAGGTGGGGGAAAATTGGGAGAAAAGACCATAATGGTGAATAGAGTTATTTGTCACCCAGTTTGTAATAGGATTTTCAATTCATTCATGCAGGCTTCCAATGCCTTACATTAGTCCTGTCAAGATGAACTACAGCCACATCTAAAATGCCATCCCCTATTAAACGGTGCATGTCAGCGAATTTGTAATTTCTTCTGTTCAGCCAGAAGATATATGGATTCTGCTCATAAAACAAATATGTGCTTCAGAAATTCACATTTTAAAATCCCGAATACTTCCTAGGAGGAAAGTTCTTTGCATAGTTACATGGTGACTATATATTAAGAATGCAATTGCTGTTTGAATGCATCTAAAAGGAAACACACGCAGCTGCCTGGACACAAATACATTGTCAAGTGTCCCACGTAACTCGTAAACGGGTTTTTCTTACTGGGTGATAGTGATGATAGTTCACCCATGTACTGCCTGCTGGGCTATTGGAGGTAACTGATATACATGGATTTACTAAATCCTCACAACTCATGAAGAAACGGAAACAACAGAGTTTAGTGGTTCAGATCATGTAACCAATAAGTGGCTGAGTTGGGATTCAAACCCCAGCAGTTTCAGTCTGGAGCCTGTGCTGCCACCCTGCTCTCTAAATATTGCCCCATCCTAGTCTCAATTGGTTACATTCCAGAAGTTAGTTTAGTAATGTACTTGTCAGCTCTTTCTTTCTCTTTCCCTCCCCTCAGTGGTAGTATTTTTTGTTGTCTTTGTTCACTATTATTTCTCAAAGCTGTCGTGGGAAATTTTATGAAGCTGTGATAACCAGACTTTGAGAACTACATAATTGAGAATCTAGTGAGGCATTTAAAAAAGGCAGGCAAACATTTTTTTACTTCTTGGAAGTTGTACGTTACATGACGTTAAGTTCACAGGATTACAAAGGATCAGGTTTCCTGGTGGACATTTCCTTTCTGGGGAACCCTAAGGACAACAGAATTGCTTACAAGACTAAGTGGTGAATGAGAGGACTCATACTATTAAAAACTGGATCTTAAAAGGTGTGAAGGTGTCAGTACTGGGAGGCTTTGTTGCTCTCTACACAGGGATAATTGCCTTCCCAGGCAGCTTTAATGAACCAACCGCAACATCCCATGGACCAAGCCATGAAAAGATGATTACCAATAGTCTTTTGACTGCAAGAAATGTTGTTCTGTTAAGCCAAACAAAAATATATAACAATAAAGGTTTGACTTAGGAATAGGCCAGGTTATAAATCTGTGACTAGAAACCAAACTAACTGTTGAAAACTGTATTATGAAGTTCTGTTGCCATTAAGGATATGTAGAGCTTTTATCCATTTTTGTAAGGGGACAAAGAAGCAATGATGTGAGTAATGTTACCAATGGTCTATTTCATTGTGCTTTCTGTGTGACTGCTTGGCTTCCCACTTCCTGTCCATTTCTGTACTATTGCCAGCCTAATCTGTCTTGCACATGGTTTCACCATGTCCATCAGTGCTTCAAACATAAAAGCGACTTATCATTGCCTAAAGAATGTAGTTATCTATGCTCTTCAAATGTGACTCAGTGCCCTCCATAAACTGGTTTCTTCCTTCCTCTCCAACACTACATGTTCCAAAATCCCTCTCCAGGGACACTGCATTCTTCACAGACCTCTGTCTTCAACCTGCTACCTCTCACCTCCTCCAGTTTTGACTGTCAGAGCCTTCTACCTGGAATGTGTTCCCCTGTCTCCTCTTTTCTTCACATTCCTCTGCTCTAACTTTGACTGGTTAATTTCTGTGTATTCTTTAAGACTTGGGAAAGTGTTTTATTTTCTCACCTACCAAACCCCGGAGACCTCATCAGGGTGCATATCTCTATTAATGCATTTACTGTACTATATCATGATTATTCTAGTGACTGATGCGTTAAGGAAAATTCTCCGGGGTCCCTCTAGTGGGGACTGGGACTTAAAGTGTGATGTCCGCATTGAGAAGAAATTTGGGACACGGGATGCGAAGGCGAGATGAACCAATACACTTTATTGAATTTTTCTGGGGCAGCTTATACCAGTTTTTTGTGGGTAGATAAAATTTTGCTAATTAGCTCAACAGTAGTATACAAGCTACTCCAATGATAGATCACAAGGGATTTTGGAAACAGTCACCAGGTCTCAGGCAACAAAATAAGTGAACATGAGTTACAGGAACCAATATAGGTAAACAAACAGATCTAACTAGAAAAGGAATCTTAACAGAGCTTTGTCTGTACTCAGATACATTCAGGCCACAATAGGAAGATGATGATGATAATGAAGACACTGCACACCTATCCAGACACGCTTTATCCACAAGATGACCCACGGTCTTAGCAGGAATTTTGCTTCCTGCAAATTCTCAGTCTGCTGAAAACGTTTGAGATTCAGGATCCTTGAACGTTTGGTGGTCTGGCTTTTTTGGGGGGCTGTCCTTCAACAGAAAATAAATCCTCAGCATCAGCACATTCTCTAACAAAAGATAAAAGTTGCATAAATGTTTTCTGGATGAATGACTGAGAACACAAAAGGCAGGACCCTTTAAACTCATCCAGCAAATTATTCTAGACATGTTTGACTTTTGTTTTTCCTGATTCCATGGGATCTGAAAGTGACAACTAATTCTCAACAACCACTGGGAAGTATCATATTTAATTCATGTGGTGATGAAATTGCCTTGGGGTGCACGTAATTTTAAACTTGTCATTTAAAATTATGAAGCAATCATATTTGAAACCTCACCTTTTGGCTTATCATCCTGGCAATGTTTCTCTAACTATGAAAAAGTGAAGTTGATCTTAGACTATAAAAGACCAAATATCTGTGCATCTACTGATTATAAACAGATTATTCTTTACAAAGAGGGCAGGGCCTGTAACCGCCTCACTCGCTGTTATATTCTGGGCTCTGACACAGTAGACGACTTTCAGTGACATCTTGTATGACATCAATATAAGATTTGCCCAAAGCAACACTCTTATATCTGTCTATCAATTAAACCTAAGAGCAATTAATAAACTAACGAATTATTATTCTGTTTAGATTATTCCTTATAATGCTTATTTGTCCTGATATTAAAGTAGTTAATACAACATATTTGGTTTTTGTTAGTTTTTGAATTTTATAGCAGGAAGCCAGATTCAGCAGTCTAATTTTCATATTCTAATAGCTATAAACAAATAAAGCAAAATTCCTCCAAAATTAAATTAAGGCATAGACGGCTAAACTGTGCCTGACTCAGGGATATCCTACTCTGTCTCACTCTGGACATTTATTATCTGATTGCCATTTATTAATAGCATACATATATAGTTTTTGTTAATGTAAGAGTTTCTTCAAAGGGCAAGTGGGGATTTAAATTTGACCTAAATCAATGATAGTCTAGTTACATTTTAAAAAATTTTTCCAAACATCATTTCATTAAAATTCATTTCTTTCTTTTAAGGGAATACCTCAGTTACCATGTGCCAAAGCGTTATACAACTACGAAGGAAAAGAACCTGGAGACCTTAAATTCAACAAAGGAGACATCATCATTTTGCGAAGACAAGTGGATGAAAATTGGTACCATGGTGAAGTCAATGGGATCCATGGTTTTTTCCCTACCAACTTTGTGCAGATTATTAAACCATTACCTCAGCCCCCACCTCAGTGCAAAGCACTTTATGACTTTGAAGTGAAAGACAAGGAAGCAGACAAAGACTGCCTTCCATTTGCAAAGGTAAAGTTAGAATGCATTGGTTTTTCTTACGACTTTTCCTCTCTCTTTACCTGCATTGAAGGCATATTGGCTACATGGTTGAGTGTAAGCTTTCTATCTCACTGTGCTTCTAAAAATGCCTGGAACCAGTCTTCATGTTGAAAGTAATTTTGTGCATAAATGTTTTGTGTGAAAGACAATTTTGGCTGATACTCTGTGTTTTTATTTTCAAGCCCACTTTAAAGTGCATGTATGCCACCCAGGGATTTTTAAAGTACTGGATTATTAATAGCAAAACATTAGGGGCTCATTTAACCTCGTGGTTAAAAATGCCTGTGTCCTACTTCAGGTACCTGAGTACTTCATTTTGGTTCCCTCTGGACTTCTGGCTCCTCCAGCTTCTTGCTTAAGAGTTGCCAGTTCCCTGCTTTGGCCCCAGACAGCCCTAGCCCGTTAAACTGGTATATGGGAACCCTGTCTGCCTTTTGCAAAACAAAACACAACATTTTTGCTTCTTCACTTTATATGTAAATATCCCTGTGACATGTGTATGTTAAAAACATAGGAATATATCTACTAAATTGATAAAATGATTTAGAGTCTGAATCAGAATATGGTATTGTCATAGAGAAAGGCAAACTCCTTTGAAGCAGTTTATAGCTACTCAACTCTGAAAGGACATCAGGGTGATCACTAATGGCCCTTTAGTTTATGAGAATATTGAATTCATGTGCTAGCGCTAGATGACAGCTTCTTTGACTCATGCTCTCATAATATTGGGGTCCTTTGTTGCAAAGGGAAATTAAATCGTCAGCTTAATGAGATCAGGTAGACTAATGACTTGTGGTTTCTGCAGGATGATGTTCTGACTGTGATCCGCAGAGTCGATGAAAACTGGGCTGAGGGAATGCTGGCTGACAAAATAGGGATATTTCCAATTTCATATGTTGAGGTAAGTTAAAATCTTAATTGTGCAACTTGAGTGTTAATGAGTCTCCACAACGCAAAGCCTGGACAATGCCGTCTTCCAGAGCACTGGGGGCATTAGGAAGAATTCCTCCATCATGTCCCACAGTGACTGAAGACTGAGATTTCTGGGAGTCATTGTTGCCTGCTGAAAGCATTCTTATATTTTGTTCATTGTTACTGTGCACTGTCAGTCACCTATACTATTTCCAAGTGTTCCTATAGTTTGGGATTAGTTAATCTTTATTTGGTTGCTAGTTTCTTTCATTATCTGCTAGATTAACAGGGCTACAATAGCGATTTGCACAAGAGGCCTTAAACAAAGCTCCTTATCAAATAAATTATTGAGTCTCCTTCCATCCTATTCCAGCAGCTAGTTAGCCTTCCCCTTTAGCCAGTTTAAACAAAAAAGCACTTATTTGAAAAAAGGGGGAAGAGAGAGAGAGAGAGAGAACACTCTTTCATCTGCTGGTTCACACCCCAAATGTCTGGATCTGGGCTGGCCTAGAGCCAAGATCCAGGATCTTCTTCCAGGTCTCTGACCAACCTGGTACAGTGGCCCACGCACTTGAATCATCTTGTGCTGTTTTCCCAGGACACTAGCAGGAAGCTGGATCGGAAGTAGAGTAAGCAGAACTTAAACGGACACCCAAATAGGACACTAGCATTGCAGATGGTGGCTTAGCCTAGTGTACAGCAGTCCCTAATTATCTTTTTTCAGAAAGCTTATAGCCAAGCCTGACCCAGTGAAATCAGTAAATACAGTACAACATAGTAACATTATTTTAGTGAATAATGTAAATTTTAAAAAAACTAAGAACTTCCAATTGATAGTGGACTTTCATATGTCATATAAACTAAATATTCTTTGGTAATGAGAATTTCTTGGGGCCAACATCATGGCATTACAAGTTAAACCTCTGCCTGTGGTGCCAGCATCCCATATGGGTATGAGCTGCTCCACTTCCAATCCAGCTGCCTCCTAATGGCCTGGGAAAGCAATGAAAGATGGCTCAAGGCCTTGGGCTCCTGCACTCACATGGGAGACCCAGAAGAAGCCCCTGGCTGCCAGCTTCAGATTGGGCCAGCTGTGGCCGTTGCAACCATTTGGGGAACAAACCAGCAGAAGGAAGATCTATCTCTCCCTTTCTTCCTTTCCCTAACTCTTTCAAGTTAAATAAATATTTTATATAATTTCTTGCTGAAAATAAAATTAAAGGCATTTTCAAAAGAGTGAAACACAAACGTACAAGGTTAACCGAGATCACAGAGACTTGTGGGAAGACATAAGATCTTTGTAGATATCTGTGTGATGTGACAATAGGGGCAAAACTAGGGAAGAAAAAGTGCATTTTGTCAAAGGAACAATATCCAGACAGGAAGACCAAAAGCCAAAAAAGTAAGAGGGAACACACATTGTTTGGGGAATTGAAAATAATTGTGTTGTTTAAAATATCAAAACATAGATCTTCAGCATGTAAAAAGAAAAGCAAGCATGAATTATTTTGCCATCTTTTTATCTGAGGCGTTTGTTTTGGCATAATTCTGAAAACTAAAATGACAAATTGTGTCATTGTAGCCAGCATTCAATTTCCTCCATAGACGGAGAGACTGCCAACATTTTCATTAAAAAAAAAAAAAAATCAATTTGACTACTGTGTATCCATGGGGAAGTAATTCAAACCATGTAAAAGTCTTGAATTTTATCCTAACCCTTCAGATGTTCCTGTTTTTCTGCCTTTGAAAGTAAACAGTGAAAAATTCCTTCATTCTCGGACAGTCCTTCCTGTACCTCATTTATATATTCTAACTATGGGTCATGGAAAACTATGAGCGTTCCAGGGTGTTTGGATGGTTACCCTGAAGAGCATGAGTAAGCACAAGATTAGTAATGAAAGCTTGTCCTTACTTGTTAGGAATTGTCAGTATTACATGCTGACACTTGGTTTGTGGTGCATGAAAAGGGATTGTTTTATTGTTGTTATCCTGCAGGTGTAGAATTGAACAGATGGGCGTAAAAAGATCTGCCCACAGTAAGTCCTGCGTCTCTTAGAGGCATTCAGATGATTTTACTGTCTTAAATTAGAAAAATAAATTTATGCTCCACTAGCAGTATTTTCATTCTCCTGTCTTCTTTCTTTCAAGTGTTTCTCTCATTTGTACTTAGAATGTTGTCAGTTGGGAGGAGGTAAACAAATCATCCGTCACCAGGAGCCTGTGAATGTGCCTTGGATGTCAAGGCATTCGATTGAAGTCCTGGGACAGGGGCAGAACATCTGGGAATTAGTGACCCCTGATTTAGCTCCCAGAGACATAAAGTGGGGCAAATGTCAGTTGCAGTCTACCAAAATCCCAGCTACCTCAGTGGTGTAGTCTTAGTCTTCCAGGGATGTCTCCCATGTAATAAAGCAAACTGCAGAAATCAAGATGTGGAGCTTTTTCTAGAATGACACAAAAGCTGAAATTAGCATCCCCTCCCCCTTTCCCCCCTGCATCTGCCCAACCTCTGGTGTTTGGCTTGGGTAATATAAATATGCAAGGAACTTGTTTGTGACAGAATCTAAACAGGATAGGCCTGGGGATAAGATGGTAGCTTCAGTGTTCAAATGTGGAGCTGTGGAGTTAGGAGCATGAGGGAAGCCTAAAGGAGCTGAGCATTGAAGGTGGGCCAAGAGAAGACTGGGTAGAGGGTATGTGATGCTGCTGTGTGATATGCCCTCCTTCCCTGTCCGCAGTGATCCTTTCTCTCTGCTCACTTTACAACCACAGATCACGAACTCCAGCCGCGTTAGAAGCAGCAGATGAATAGTGGCTGTGGCAGAGTGATTTATAAACTACTGTCTTACTGAAGTAAAAAACTTCCCTTGTTGAAATAAAATCAAGAGGCAAGGCCTTGTGGCATAGTTGGTTAACCCACATGCATCCCCCTAAAAGGTGCTTGTTTGAATATTGGCTATTCTGCGCTTCTAGTCAGTTTCCTGATAATGTACCTGGGAAGGTAGTGGATAATGACCTTAATCTTAGGTCCCTGCCACCCACATGGAAAACCGGGATGGAGTTCCTGGCTCTGGTTTTATCCTGGCCTAGTCCTAGCAATTAGTAGGTATTTGGAGAGCAAACCAATAAACTGAAGATCTTCCCTTTATACCCCAATAGATAAAAACATAGAAGGTTTTTTTAAAATATTTTTTTAGAAAAAGATTTATTTATTTGACAGATAGACTTACAGAGAGGAGAGAAGAGGAGGATCTGCTCTCCAATGGTTCATTCTCCAAATGGCTGTTGGGGGTACAGCTGGGACAGCCTGAAGCCAAGTGCCTGGAGATTTATCTGTGTCTCCATATCTGTGCGCAGGTCCCCAAGTATTTGGGTCATCCTATATCACTTTCTCAGGTACACTGACAAAGAACTGAGTTTCAAGTGGAAAAACAGGGCCCTGGCACAGTAATCTATTGGCTAAGGTCCTCGCCTTGCATGGACTGAGATCCCATACGGGCACTGGTTCCAATCACAGCTGCTCCACTTCACATCCAGCTCTCTGCTTGTGGCCTGGTAAGGCAGTAGAGGATGACCCCAAAACCTTGGAATCCTGCACCCATGTAAGACTAAGAAGAAACTCCTGGCTTTGGGTCAGCTAAGCTCTGGCCATTGTGGCCACTTGTGGAACCAGCAGATGGAAGATCTTTCTCTCTGTCTCCCCTTTCCCTCTGTATATAGAAGTGGAAAATAGGGAAGCAAACTGACACCCATATGGGATGTAAATATCATTAGCAGAAGCTTAGGCTACTGTGCAACAACACCAGCCCCACCAATAATTTGAGTTTTAAAATAATAAAACAAAAAATTCTTGAAGATTGAGTAAAGAAAAAAAGTACCTGGTTTGCAGGAGTCAGAAAGGAGAAGAATAGAGTTATACATAGTCCAGAATTCTTTCCCTTGGAGTCTTCATCTAGTTCTTAAGATAAGGATTCTCTTGCTTTGAACGTATTCACTTTTACCCTGTTGAGACTCTCCTGGCAGATCCTTCTCTCATCAAGGTTGTGGATTTTCTTCTCATTAGATAGGTTCTTGGTTGACCAGAACAAAATGGAAGGTAATCTGAAATGAGAGATAAGTTTCTTAAAGAAACACAGGAAACCTTTAAATTTAGTTTCATTTTATTACTTTTTGTTTTATTTGAAAGGCAGAGAAATATGGGTCAGAGAAAGACACACACAGAGAGATCTTTTACGTGCTGTTTTACTCTCCAAATGCATACAGTAGCTGGAGTGGGCCAGGCTAAAGCCAAGTGCTTGGAAGTCTGTCTGAATGTCCCATGTGGGTGACAGGAACTCAAGTTCTTGAACCTGGTGTTTCCCAGATGACTCATCAGAAGTGGAGCTGAATTAGAGGCTGAGCTCATACCCAGGCACTCCCGTATGGGATGGGATGGTACCAGATGATGGTGTAACTTGTGGTAGCTTCATTCCCTGTGCTATAGCACATATCACCCCTGCTCCTTGGAGATTCTTTGCTGTTTTAGATTCATTTACTTATTTTGAAAAGCAGAACAGCAAAGAGATCTTTTGTCCACTGGTTTACTCATCAAGTGTTTATGAAAGCCAAGTCTAGGCTGGGTTGATCCCAAGATCCAGGAATGGCTTACTGCTTTCCCACATGGGTGACAGGGACACAACTATTGTGCCATGTCCTGCTCACTTCCTAGCTGCATTAGCAGGGAGCTGGATCAAAAACTAAGCAACCAGGATGCAAATTAGAACTCGGGTCTGGAATGTCAGCAGCTTATCCTGCTAGACAATAGTAACCCCCACGTCTTGAATGCTGGAAGACATCATGCCAGAATCTGCATAAAAGGATGTGCTTGTCAAGGACTGAATGGCATTTAAAGAAAAAAAGAAAAAAGTAGTAGCCTGATTCTTTGCCCAAAAATACTAATTTTCTACAAAATAGAATGGAAGATTTTAACAACCACATTAATTTGACACT